TGAGAATGAGAAACCACACCAATAAATTCACCAGAGATTCTTGAGAATGAGAAAACAATGAAATCGTTCGGATGATGTATTACGAAGAAATAGGTTAGATCTCAAGTTATCGCATAATGAATTTGTCCCTTATAAACAAGACTTTGAAACCACTAATTAAAACAATTGTTTTGGTGCTGACAACAAAAATGATAAAAGTGACAGTGTCAGTGTTCATTCCAGCAGTAAGCCCAGTGATCCTCAAACGAAGACTAAGTCCGGTTGTTCAATTAAAACCCCTGATGTAAGACTTGATTTGTAGTTGAACTGTTGTTGTTTGTAGAGTAAGCATTTGTTTATATTTTGTAATCAGTTTTGATTTGTTCTATTGTTGTAACAAAATCAATAACAAATTTATATTCTCGGTTCAAATTCATTATTCGTGGGAAAAGTTTTATTTTTATAGACAGCTAAAATGTGACCCTATGATGAAATTTACAAACACATAGAGTTCTGCGAAAGGCCTAAACTGTTCGAGGGTAAAAAGAACTTGAGTCAGAAAAGTATCGAATTTTATAGCTTCAAGATTATTATTGCTGTAATCCAAAATTGACAAATATACAGGCCAAAATTTTTGTTTTCCGAGATAAACACTAAACTTTAAACTAATCTCTCGCCTGAACCAGACCCATGTGGTTGTAATAATTTATTCAAAGTCAAGAATAATCTCTGAGCCACGTTTTATAACGAACCCAGAAGTCAGGCAACCGATAGCATTTCAAAGAATGATATATTATATTCGAAGCATATGTGTGTGTAGGGGAACAATAATTACATGAGCTGGATTTTTAAGATGCAATACGGGATGCAATAACCAATTGTATAATAATAATATAATTATCAAGGGTTGTTACTATAGTCAAATGCTTAGTTAAAATTAAGATATAGGTAGATTAAGATAGGAGTGATTACTCAATTATTTTATTATTATATTAGTAGAGATTTTAGTTCATTAGAGAGTTTAGATCATTTCACACCCTTGATAATTAGGTTAGAAATTAGGGAACCTTTATTTTATACATTTAATTAGGTAATTAGAAAAGGGAAAGATTTTCAATTGAAAGGGAAAACAGTAAATGTTCAATTAATAATTTGACAACATGTAAGTAGCGAACTCTCTTGGATAGCCATCAAACTGGATCACAGGGTTGAGCACTTTAGATGGGGAAGGTTGGATAAACTTGAGAAGCAATGGAAACACAGCAAGAAACCAAAAGGTACTTTCAGCGAATCGCTGAATGCTAAGAGGGTGGAGATCCTCGAATCTCGCAAGCCCGGTACTGAGAGGAGCCAATGGACTTCTAAAGTGGTACCCAGAGGGTGGTTCCTTTCGCTTATTTAAGCAGATGTAGAAGCCACATAACTTTAGTTATCGCCAATTCGCCACTAGATTTTACCACGAGTAATCGCTGGAAAACTGAGTCGCAAAGTTTCAACGAGTTCTCGATCCGTTCCTCATCCGCTAGTTCATCTGCCGCTTGGTGTTTTAGAGAAAGCTCTCCAAAGAGATGATAGTTATTTTTTTTTTAATTTCAATTTCCAATAAAGTCTCAGATTTTGAACTAAATCTTTTAACTGGGAAATTATTCTTATTTCTTTTAATTGTCTTGAATTTTTGTTCAGTTAAAAATTGTTGATGGTCTATTAATTAAATAATTTTAGTTTTTTTTAATATTTTACCTTACCTTTGTTTTTTATCTTTAAATAATTAACTTTTCACTCCTAAATAAATAAATTTTAATCTTTCAAAATTAGTCTTTTCTTTTCTGGTTTTAAAATTCCCATTAAAAAACTGGTGGTGGTTTAAAAAGATCTTACGTGCCGGTTGTGCGGTTAGAGAAAGTGTTTCCAGCTTCAGCAGAGAAGTGGTAAGTGGTACTAATTTTGAGTCTCTATCAACACCTTTCAATAACCACTCCAAGAAGAGAAGAAAAAAGACTTCGTTCAGATTGCCTCCGGTTCAGAAAACTGTTATTTACTGCTTCAAATCAAATTTACTTTTCAGCATAATTTACCACGAAATTTTAAGATGTGACAAAATTATTCACGCTACCAAAATATCAATACATAACATCTCAATTTTGTCACATTGTAAGCAAGGGAAGTGTGTCATCAAGTGTTGCTACCTGTTGCTACATGATGCAGCCATAGTGTGGCGTCATCACCTAGCGGTGGGCGAGCAATGCACTGAAGGTATTCATGCCTAGAGGGGTACCCGCAATTGACATAACCTAGTACGGGCAGTTGCAAACGAGCAGGCTGGATTTTGAGTTATTAAATACAATACTGGCAATACTAGTAGTTTTATTGGAAACTCCCAAGAATAATACTATTATTTAATCAACAATAGTCTCAAATTTGAATTATTTCCAGATAAACTGAAACTAGCTCTAATAAAACCAATTTAAAAGAAAGGTGAACCAGGAATAATTGACAATTACAGACCAATAAGTTCACTGTCTCGATTTTCAAAAATTTTTGAATTGGTGATGTGTGATAGAATAATGAGCTTTTTTAATAACTGCAACTTGTTTAGGGAGCACCAACATGGTAATACCTCTGGTACTATTTCAATTTACTAAAGGAATTCTAAAACATACCGAACAAAATAGATTATCATTAGGCATTTTTTTGGAATGGTCAAAGGCGTATGATCGGGATATTCTACTTAAAAAACTAGATTTATATGGAATAAGAGAACATGCATTTGAATTGTTCAAATCGTATTCAATGAGTAGAAAACAAATAATAAAAGTAACACATATTTTTCAGACATAAAGGAAAGTTCGCATGGAATTGCACAAGGCAGTATATTAGGACCAGTACTGTTTATAATATGCCTAAATGACATCTATTCCATTGCAGATTTGAACAGAGGAAGTATTGTGTGACAATACAAACCTACTTGTAGGGGGGGAAAGATGTTAATGATTTATTCAACAATGCTAACATATTATTCAAGAAAACAGACAGCTGGTTTAAACACAATAAGTTGATCCTAAACAATGAAAAATCAAATGCTCTTATGTTCAGAACAAAGTAGTCCAACCTAAATAAACCAGCTACTGTAGAATGTAGTGATAGGGTTGTAAATATTGTGGATAGTGTTAAGTGTTAAGTTCCTGGGGATAAATATTGAAGAGACAAGTCAGCAAGGACAGATGGGATCTATCCAGTTTTGTTACAGAACGGAAATGAACTAGCACAAAGGATGCTCTGCAACATTCTAAGAAGTATATAGTATATAGCAAAGACTAAGAGACACATTGGGAATACGTTCATACCAAAGCCTGGAAAATTAGTACAGGACACGGCAAAGTCTATAACGGGCCTTATGACAAGCCACATACCACTAAAGGTCCACCTGAACAGGATAAACCTGTATGACGGAAACATTAATTGCAGACTCTGCAATAAGGAACCGGAGACAGCCGGACACATCATGGAAAACTGTGAGGTACTGGATTGCAGAAGACACAACATTTTCGGGCAACCAAACGTAGTCCAGAAAAGAAAAATGAAATTCAAACAGACTAAGCACGTCTCAGGCTTCAGTGCTACATGGGGATAATAAGAAGAACAAGCCTGAGAGAGAGAGAAAAAAAAGGGTTCCTAGTGCTTGAGGGGCTATTAGAAGCTAAATATGTTTCAAGGAAATTCCCAATTTAATTGAATATTCCAACTGAATGTGGTATTTAATTTTTTTTTTATTGATGTCGGACCATTAAATTCTGAATCGATGGTGCTAGCAAAATAGGTATTCCTTGTGAGGGTGCATATCTTTTTTAGGGAATTTATAAAAAAATAATTTTTGTGAGTAGTAGGTAAGAAAAGAACAAGTTCAACTAAAGTAGATGATAAATTATACCTACATACCTACTAAATAAAGTAAGTACTTTTCTTGAAAAGCAACAAAATGAGGTTGCATCTCAAGCACGGCAGAACTCAAATTTACATTTTGATAGGCATAATAAACCAAAAATATCCAGTTTATTTCAATAAACAAGTGCTAAGAATGAAAGAATGTGAAATTAAGAATAGAATCGAACAAAGTAAACTACAAGGCACTAATATTGCAAATTCAAAAAGATAACTACAAAATATTCATGAGGCTAGGGTAGGTATTTGGGATTTTTATTTTTAGATATTTTTGGTTGTGGAAGGAATTTAAGATCAATGCTTGTATGAAAATGTCATTACTAAAACTTTTTTTAGTGTTTAGCGTTATAAATCTATATTTAAAAAAGCAAAATACCACTTACTCACTCACTCACTGACTGACTGATCACTAGATCTGGAAAACTATACGCTCGATTGACTTGATATTTTGAATATATACGTACTCCTTCCAATGACAAAATCAAAACATAGCATAGTAATTAAATTGTTTCCGTCAGCGCCAGCGGTCGTATTTAGAATATAAGCTTATGATGGAAAATATTGTTATGAAGTTTGATTTAGAATGTACTAAAACATGTAAGAATAAGGCAAAAGCCAGCAGAATCATAGCCTGTGGTGCAAACACTTTACGTTAAGGCGAGAAACGAAACGCTGACGAGGTCACCACTGGTACTTTGGCATGGTGGGAGGCTTGAGATTGGAACTACGCAGGCCTTATGAAGATGGGCTAGCCTTTGTGCATTTGGAGAGTTCGGGCGGAAGTTCTATAAAAGTTCTCGCCTTTAATGGCAAATTGAATTGTGCAACTTGATGGAGCAAGATTATAGCCTTTGTGCTTTTTGGGACAAATTATAAATCTGTACCTATCAGATACAAATAAAGACAAACGAAAAATCTCTCCTCCAAGAAACGATTATAAATTTGACCCTTAACCACCATAAGAAACAAATAACAAAAATACAAATGTATGTTTTAATAATAAATATGTTTCTTTAACTGCAAAGTATTTTCAAAATACATATTCCAATTCACTCTAAAAAAAAAAAAAACTAGAAACTTACCACAATAATCTGGACTGGTTGTTCTTCCATAATAGCTCCCATAAAAACTCTGCGAATCAGATAAAATAGGATCAAATTCTTGCAATATGCTCACTCTAACGCTATTCTTATCATCAATTTGTGCTAAATCAATAAGATTATTCGAATTACTATTCTCACTATTCTGTACTTTCTCGCTCTTAACAGTGCTTTTTGAAGAGCTCGGTGCAGTTTTTGAATATGCCGCAGACGATTTCGGAGGTAAAGTGGCGTGAGGGGGCGGCTCTCGTTTTTGATTTTTAGGCGGTAAAGCGGGCGGAGGCTAAAAGAGAAAAACGCAACCCTGGGGTGACAATGCTTTTTGTAGGCGTGAAATAGGTTTAGCACATTGCAAATTATTAGTAAAATTAAAAACCACACATACCTACCAATATCAACTTTGTAATATTATATTATGTAATCTGATAAACAACTGTTGAAAATATGTATTTAAATTGTTACAAACAGAAAACTTTATTATCAAAAATGCCACTGCAACTTAGTGAAAACTATTGAGAATCAGAAACTTTAAATAGATACTTTTTGACTATTTTAAAGCTTATTTCCCATTTTTTATCAAAACCACATAAAACCCAACATATTCTAAATTTTGCAGTGGAAGTGATTAGAAAACACCCAATTTAAAAACGAAATGCCACAAGATTTAAATTGTTAAAAAACGTTTATGCAAATGTAGTAAACTTATTTCCAAACAACATTAAAAAGAAACAAAGCAACGCAAATAATAATACACAATAAGTTAAAATGTAGGTAATTATTTCCTCCCAAGTCTGTGGCACAATCAAGATTACGCACAAACAACTTTTCAAGTCTTACTAGGCCCAGATGAACCGTAGGCCAATTCAAACGAACAGGATTTTTCTTTTATTGTCATATTTTAAAAATCCATAAAACCACTTGAATTTAACAGGAGAATGATAAATGGTGTCGAGTGACCCTTGAAATCAGGTATTAGGTATTCCTGATTTTAAGGTTTATTGACAAAGTTCAAAAATAGTAATTTTATAAATATAAACACAAACTGATTGAAATATTAATACATAAAGATTAGCTACTGCTTTTTTGAAAAAAATTAATATTTAATTGAATACGTACAAAACAATCTGCAATACAGTCAAAACAATAACAAATACTTATGTACGTGAAGTTATTATTTTATCTAAAATTTCTAATATTAACTATCAATAATTTTCCAAGAGCACGTTTTATTAGTGTAATATGCGATAACAGAATGCACATTTATAAAATTCATAAAAGGTTTATCTGTATTATATGATTCAGAAATATGGTGAAATCAATTATGACCAAATAGATAAGAAGTAATACAAAAACCGTTCGATTGAGAAATACCTCAATGACCAAGCTATGCAATGACATCATTTAAAAAATAATTTAAGCAATTATTGTGTCCTTAAAAATATAGTAACCAGAGAGATTGTAATTTTTTAACCTTCTCAGCTGCAAAACTGTTGAAGCAAATTAAAATTATGATTAACAGATTTGTAAAGTATTCAATTGCCTTTAATTAGAGCCTAATGGCGTTGAAATCGGATGAAAATTGGAAGAGCTGTGAGGCAAAAACTGACTTAGTGTCATTTTTGGAAAATTTTCAATGTTCGATAAATTCAATTTTGAAGCTTCTCAGCTGCAAAACTGTTGAACCTGAATTAAAATCTATTTTTAAGCATATATTTACAGGGTGTCCCGGATAAGGTTGCATTCTACAGGGATCTCGGTAACCATAAGAGATACAGGGTTGGTTAAATTTGGAAAAAGTCGCGCATTACTGAGATCAGTGGCGTCCTGTTTTGACATTTCGGAAATTCCGAATGATTCCGAAGATATCCATAAAAAACCGAATTCTGTCGAAATCGTTTTTATTTTTTTCTGACTTTATTCGAAATGATTTAGCAAAATAAAGTTCTCATACTCATTGGGCAATTTTTCTCCACTACATGGTAATGTTATTAAATTTTTGATCAGACGTTTCGTTTCTTCGCGATCATCATCATCATCATGAACAACCGAGGTCCGTTAATGGGGGCAAGATAGTTGAACCATTTCATCATTCCTTGTATTTTTAACAAAACTTAAATCTATCTATACTTATCTATAGAATCAATTTTTTTGGTGCACCATATACAGGGTGACTGGTAAGTAGACGGATTCATTTGAGGAGGTAAAAGTAGAGCCTATTTGCTACCGATTGAACATCATTTACCTCTATATCATTCTCAACAGTTATTGAGATATTTATTATTTTTTAATATTCAAGAAATTCGCTTCTTTGCGCGGTAAATATTTAAAATTAAGGAAAATAGTGAAAGCAATTTTAAATGTCGCTTTTCAAATTATAAGCCGACACACTTACACAAATATAAACATTGGAAATTATTGAAACAATAAGGATAACTATTAAATTATTTCGGTTTAAACTTAACTTTTCTTGTCAAGTTACAAACTAATGGTTACTTCATGCTTAAAAATTTCGAAAATTTCATAGTACCTACATCAAACCGTATAAATTATTAATAAAAGTTCTCGATATTATTGTCTTCAGAATAAGGCACATTATTCCAGAATTAGTTTTTTGTTTTATTCTTAAATAAAAAAGTTTTATTTGTAAGAGCTACCAATATTAAGAAAAAATTATTCGATTTTTTTTTAACACCAAGTGTTACAATAGAAATGTTGTCAAATATTGATGTTAAGATTTACCTAAATTAGGTACGTACGGGTTCTACTTTCACCTCCTCAAAGAAATACATCCACTTATCAGTCACCCTGTATATAGCAAGAAGCCAACAATCTCATGTCTTCTTTTTACATGCAATAACTGGCTGCGTTACTACTTCTGCACTTTTCAAAAGGGGTAACACAACAGTATTCAAAATTTTTGAAAAAAGTAATAATTCAATTGATTGCGCAGAAGTAGTGTCTAGTGTAGAAGTCTTATATCGTGTATACTATTGTCTATCAAGTTCAATTATTATGTGGGTAGGCAAACAACTGGACCCAGATTTCCGTTATTTAACCCCCTTTTTTTGTTTATTCTGACTGGAGTGTAGTGATTAAACACTAGTAATCAGTAAGAACACCTCTATTTATTTTATTTGATTATTTGATTGAACCCCGGAAATAACATGGTGGCAGCGTAAAAGTGCACAAGTTGTTTGAACTTTGGCTATTCGTTGTGCTTCTGTTACCTGCAGCCTAGGCAAAGATTAAGGCGAAAAATTACCAACGTATGGTTTTTATTTGTTATTGAACAAAAAATCGGGCAACATGTCAGATAGCAGAACCCTGGAAGAAATTAAATGGTCAGGCGACCTTTCTGCATATTGGAAACTTTGGAGACATTTGATAATTACTTGTTGGCAAGTGGAAAAAATTCAAAGGGTGATGATGTCAAAATAGCCATATTGTTGAATCTAATGGGAGATCAAGGCCTTATAATCTACAACACTTTTGAATACACAGAAACCGAAGACAAAACCAAGCTTCGAACAGTTTTAGATAAGTTTGAAGCCTATTGCAACCCCCGGAAGAACAAGGTACATTATAAGTTTTTTAAACGAGATCAACTTGCTGGTGGAACAATTGACCAATTTGTCACTTCGTTAAGACAGCTCTCATCAACATGTGAATTTGCAGAGACTGATGTAATGATATTGAATAGACTGGTTTTAGTAATCAAGGATTTACGTATGCAAGAAAGACTCTTGCAGGAGTCAGGTCTCTTACTGAGTAACGCCATTCAAATCTGTAGATCTATGGAAGCAAGTGTGGCAACCCAAACGATTATTACAATGTAATAGCAGGTCGGTGCTATAAATTTAAAGTATAAGCGGGCATCCAAAAAATGGTGAATCAAGTGGCTTTAAACCCACTTTCAACAAGAGCGGTGAGGAAAATTTAAACTGCAATTATTGTGGATTAGTTCACGAGAAAGGAAAATGTCTGGCATTCAATCGTATTTGCGATAAATGCCATAAAAAAGGACATGTCCAAAAGCTGTGCTGTAGCAAATATTTACACCAGATCGAAGAGGATGACGATTATGATGATGATGGTAGTGACTTTAAAAGTTTAGAGATCCCAATTACCTCGAATGTGGACTTAGTTGAATGGTTTGAGTGTGTTAAAATAGAAAAAATTAAAATAGACTTAAAAATAGTTACTGGAAGCCAGGTAAACATTTCAAATTATGATGGTTTTGTAAAAGTTATGACAAAAATTAATTTCGATAATTTAAGCAAATCAATTTCAGTGTTCATCATATTCTGGCCACAGCCTTGACGCTGTATTAAAAAAACAGGATATAGCTATTTACCTAACAAGTGCGGAAAATTAAATTTTTCTACTGACATTTCATAATAGCAACTTTTCGATTGTCATTTCAGTTTTGAAACGACATTCTTTTAGGCACTGAGTGCGTGAAAGTTACTTTTAGGCACTCAGTGCGTAAAAGTTACTTTTGAATGCGTAAAAGTGACTTATGAGTGCGTAAAAGTAATTTTTAAGCACTAGTGCCTAAAAGTGTCATTCATTATTCAGAAATAAAAAACACACTAAACACATATTTGAATTTTGTTTTGTATTTATTATGAATATTGAAAATGGAATTACTGAATTGAACGTTTGGGTTACTCAAAACAGAAGTTTGTGTTATTACCTACTTTCTAGGATTTTAATTATTGATGTCGAATTTTGAAAAGAAAATCGCATGAAAAGTGTCAGGTGTGAAGTAAAAGCAGGTAACAAAGATTTTGGGTGTAATCGACTTATTCACATGAAATAAAATTGTGTTTTTTTATTATAAAATGCCAGTAGAAAAAATCTTGTATACAATACGTTACGAAACGATGTCTTTTAGTCACTCGACGTGTTGTCCAACTCGGCTTTGCCTCGTTGGACAATTTTCACGTCGCGTGCCTAAAAGACGCTCATTTCGTAACTTATTGTATAAATAGCTATTTCCGCACGCGGCTGCCGTTCTGAACGACGCGTAGCGGAGTTCGGTGATGCAACCGAGTGCGGAAAAATATTTTCCGCAAGTGTTACTTGCGAAAACTTTTTCCGCACTGATATGTCAAAAAAAAAAGTTTTACCGCACCGTGCGGGAAAACTCATTTTCCGCACGCATATCAGTGCGGAAAATCGATTTTTCCGCACGGCTGTAGGAAATAGTTATTTTCCTAACAAGTGCGCAAACGTATCCGAACTCCGCTTCGTGTCGTTCGTATAACTGTGTTTGCGTGC